TTTGCCTCTTCTTTAAGGCCTCATGTTACTGTGATTTTTCATTGACGGAGAATGGTTCAATGGCACTCCATTAGATAGAGTAAGGGGATTCTCACATCCCCCCCCCCCCAATCCTCCACTGAGATTAAACACGCTGCTTTGGTGACTGTCCCTGACTAGGAAGCAAGAATCCAAACCAAACCGTCTGGGTTCTTCTAAGCATTTATAATTCGGCTGTCAAAAAAGTATCTCTGCACTGAAACTTGTGCAAACTCTCAGCCTCAGGGCAATTTTTAAGCCAAATGACTAAAACAAATATCTGATTGTCCTTTTCAAAATTAAATAGAAAGACAGACGAGAAAAAAACTAGGTTTGCTTGTTTTTTATGCAGGAATAACTGAAAATGGCATCTAATCTGACACATATTTAATCCAAAATGTACAACATAATTACTCTGCGGAACTATCAACTGGTAGAAAAAGCTCAATGCCCATTTCCCGACCTGAGAATGAACTGAACATTTGTATGTTAACAAAGTTCTTTTCTCTGGTATGATCTGCTGGTGGGAATGCCGGGGAAATTGTTCCATCTTGTGGTCTCCTTTGCCTCCCCCCTCCCCCCCCTTCCCTGCATTTTAGTGTAGGGGAGTGAAACTGAGAAGATTTGATTTCCAAGTTGACTACATTATATCTGAACAAACTAGACTCCTTTTTTCGAAAGGCATATGCAATAGGAACCAAATCATTGTAGATTTTTTTATTTTTTTTAATATACAAGGGGCTGGAAAACTGATTGAGTTTCCTTCCGCTCATGGAGTTTCTTCTTTATTATTCTGTGGGAGATCCCTGTGTTTCTGCACAGCTTCTGGACCCTCATGACTCATGTACGAGCAGGAGCTGTACTTCTATGGTATCTCCTACTGTTGCTGATCCTCTCCTGCCCTGACACCTCCCATCCCATCCTTTCAGTGTATGTGTGTTGCACTCTATGGTGGGTTAATCCATATATGTTATTTCTGGCTTGGGTAAGAGGCATTAAATTACATTACCAGTCCCTGCTTAATTTAGGGGGCATGATAGATTGGACAGCAGCCATCCCCTGGGCTGTCTATCCACACCTAAGAAGCCAGGTCCCTGCAGAGGTCCTAGGGATGTGTTTCCATGGAATCAGACAGAAAAAGAGAACACTTGTAAATTTACTGTAGATATTTTGTAAAAATAATGAGGTCTTACTAATATTAGACATCCTTCCAGTGCTCTGCCACTAAGCCGTTGCTATGAAGTGAGGAGAGGCCATTTTTGTATGTGTGAATTATAGGGTGTGAGGTTCTAATGTCTAGAGACCTGTCCAATATTTATTCAGCGGCTGCCCTCTTTAATTGCCCACTGCTGAAATTAACATCACTTTTTCAACTAACTAGAGAAACACTTCAATTAAATATATATTGTTTTCATTCCAGTTCAAAAATTCCACCATATTGATACTGAGCTTGAAGGATGTTGAGGTCTTTTCATTATTTAAAAAACCTTTAAGATACAGGAAGCTGTGTGAGATCACAGGACCACACATATACTGTTTCGCGAATGCATTATGGTAAAGCTTCTCCAAGGTGTTTAGGAAAGGTGGGGACATCCATGGAAAAGATTACCATGAGCCCAAAATGTAGGAACAAGAAGCATGGATTAAAATATATATAATTTTTTTAATATGTTGTTTTATTTGAAATTAAGCTAATGATTCAGGGCTGGAGGAAGGAAATACACCAAGGTAGAAAATGAAAGCATGAAGAAGTCATTAGAATGATGCAGGGGGGAATTTTAATATTGTAGAAATTCTTCTGTTTCACATTTTCCTGTTGACATTGGTTTTAAGATCATCCCCTCAACCTGTTTTCTTAGCTTGTACTGGCCTTTAAAAATCAGTATGAGTTACACTTGACCTTGACAAATAATGGCATTTAAAATTGCCTTGACTCTAGTGCAGCAGCAGTCTACCCCATAAAGGTTCCTTTTTGTCAGCACCTTCTCAAGTGGTACAAGTTTCCACTGCTTCAGCACCATAGGGTATATCTGCTACACTCAGTACTGTAGGTGAATTAGAGAGCCAAGACCCTAGGGCCCTGTGCAGTAGTATTGTGTATCAGGAGGACAAAAGGATGGCGCCAACCGTCCTGCTGTATGCGCCAGTAACTAGAATTAATTACAAACCAATCGAATCCGTTGCAGCCAATTGGTAAACTAATTGGTAATTTTAGCTGTACATCTATATGTAGTTATCTGGATGCCTGTAACGGCGCTTTCAGAGCCACTTTTGTTCTGCTTCATCCTGCTTGACAAAATGGCCTTCATAGCTTTAGGGAGAAAGATGTGCATCAGTGAATATGGGGCCGCTCCAGCTGCTTGTCTTGTTTGTATTCCCTTGTTCGTAAAACATGACTCAGATTACAGCTGCATGGTACTGCTCTGATCATTTCTGATAAAGTGTAGCTAAACATTCCTTAAAAGAGGTTGTTTAAGCCATTTATTGTATTTTCTTTGTGCCATCTAGCTTCAGAAATATAACTCATATTTGGATTAATTCAGTTTTTAATAGGGAAAATCTCAGTAGCAGACATTTTAAAATAAATTATACTGAATTAATCTTGCTTTCTATGCTCTTACTGTTGTTAATGTTCAGCACAAGATAATATGACTGATTTAAACTGAATTAGAAACCTAGATTTTTATTAGTGAAATTGGAAGAAGAGGGCTGGCTAAAACACGTAATTTGTTCATTTCTTGTAGCAGACTTTTCTTACCAGTTACTTTGCAATGCCAATAGCCTTTTAAGAAAAATAAATAAAATGTTTTGTTTTTGTGACACTTCAGAATAAAGGTAATATGATGTTAATATAAAAGTTGTTTGATTTTTTTATATATATTTGTAAATATTTACTACAAATGCACTTTTAGACTATGTCCAATAGATGTATTTGTAGTTATCTTTCATCTTCTATGTATATGTATATATAAAGTCTCAGTATTAAAGTTTTTTTTATTAGTATTTGTCAGAGAGTTCTTTCTTCCCTTCATTTTGGATGAAAATTACCCCTGTGCGTAGGTCCACTCCATGGACTATACACCACTTATGTCTCAGTTAAGTCCTATTTTGAGTGTTTAAGTGGGAGATAAATGGTCCATAGGCCTTGTGCTAGTCTGATTTAGATTATATGTATAGCTATCAGTTAAAAAAAAATGAAACAAGTAAGAGCTCATACTTAGGTAAATCTCCCACTGAAATTAGTGGGAGAATTACCTGCGTGAAGACTGCAGAATCAGGCCGTAATAGGGGAAATGGCCTTTTCAATTTCAACTGTTATCTTCTGTGTTTAAGGGCAACCTTGACATAATTAACACACTTCCAAAGCTTGAATGAATTGGAAACCAGTATGTATGATGAATCATTTTCAAAGTAAAGCTTAATAATATTTTTTGCTACTAGAAGGAAGTAAAGACTTTTAATTCTATTTTGCTCAGTGTACATGATTATTGTGCCGCTAATTTTCTTCTTTAGATGTGAGAAATTATATTAGATTCACATTAAAGGTCTGCAGTTGTCAAATGGCATTCTTTGTTACTCGTCAGCGTATACATGACTAGGTTCTATCAAATTAACAAGATCTTGCAAGACTCTGTTCATTATCAATTGAATTCCAACATACTGTGAAAGTCTGGCTTCAATGGATGCAGCTTTCACTTTGTCTGACTGAAATAACTGATTTTGAATCACTTAAGAAATGTAGGTAAATTCTTGAACAATTAGATTTCATTCAACAGTATCTTTCCAAAAAGATAATAGAATCACTTATCCATACAAACAGGATGTGTAATCTGATCATTGGCTGTTATAAGGGCTAAATATATAATTATTCCAAAGCCATGAATGTGGGATTCTGTGGTTTACAATTCTTAAAGTGCAGTTATTGTGAGAAAAGTGAATGTAAACTTTACATCCCAGAGGTTCTGTGCTTAGTAGTGCTCTCAGTAACTTCACATCAAATATATTCTGTTTACAAGTCAATTGCCAATGCCATAATCTCTCCCTGTATACTTTCTGCCTCTTAAACCATCACCAGTAATATTCTGTAATTATAGTATAATTTATAATTTTGTTGATGCTGAGGTTGAGTAGAATCTTATGTGGCAATATCACATATACATTCCATAATCTCTAGACAGACTAGTATTGCTACACACCAGCAGGATGTTCTGTGTGCCACAATTTAGGAATTCTGTGGAAGAGGGGTTCTCTCCTGTGGGCTACAGAGCTAGGTAGAGTGCTTTTTGCCTTCCCCAACTGCTGATATCCTAGGATTCATTAGAGTGGACTCTCTCCTGCTGACTTTACAAAATGTGCAGCCGCCCTCCTAATCACTTTGCATATTACATAGCCAAGTGAATCATTAATGTTTGTGCAGTTTCCTATGCAGTTCATAAGTTTATCAAAACTCTATGCAAAATGTACTGCACATATCCAGCATGTGAATTTTAAAAGATCATAACTTGTCAAATCAAAATCAAATTTCACTGGAGCATTCAGAGACACTTGTGCTTAATGAGAGCTTTAATTTACATGCCAGATTTCAGCTTTCTGTCCTTAGCCATTTTGTTTGCAGAAATGTTCAAAAAAGATCACAAGAATTATTTATAATAGGAAAAGTATTTTAAACTCTCTTTAAAGTCTGAACTGTTTTTGCTTAAGCCATTCAAAAGCTCCACTTTCAAGCAGGGACTGAGACTGGTAAATTTCAGCTTCAAAAGTTTGTTTCAGGAAGTTATTGGCAACTTGAAGTGGTGTCAGAATGGAAAATATTATGCAACCTTTACTAAAGCAGATTTTGCCACTTTAGCTATAATAGAGTGAAATGTGTACTGTCTGGTCAGGTTTTTTGCTGAGTTTTCTATTTCTTCCAATATTGCCTCTTTCTTTGCCTTCCTCACCCCCATAAATACAAATACCTGATGTAAGTTGTTGTTTTCCAGGAGGTTCTAATGATGCTAGATAACTATGTAAGAGATTTCAAGGCATTGATTGACTGGATACAGCTACAGGAAAAGCTAGAGAAGGCTGATGCTCAAAGCAGGTAATCAGATTTTTTTCTTTTCTTTTAATCTATTTCCTAATAGTCTCTCAGGGTGAAATTCACCCTAGTGCAGAGGTCCAGCACAAGGGCCTATGAGCCACTTAAGTCCCACTTAAGCAATATTGCCAGCTCCAATCATTAAAAAATCATGAACAAAGCCATATGAAATCATGGTATTTAAAAAAAATGTACACCGCTACCTCGATATAACGTGACCCGATATAACACGAATTTGGACATTACCATAGTAAAGCAGTGCTCCGGGGGGGTTCCCTGGGTATGCTTGTTCGGCCCACACAGAAGCCTATGCTGCCATGTCTTTATTACTGTTTTTAGCCATGCTAGCTAGATTAAAGTTAGAGTGGGTATGCCAGTCTGTACTGCTATCACATCTCCTATTGCAGTGTAGACATACCCTTGGACTCCTAGGTCATTTGTGTGACTGAAAATTTTACCTACTATCTACAAAAAAAGATCAGCCTAACTGTTTATTCAGGTTCCTGTTTTCCCAAGGAAAGCTAAATCATGCTTTCTATAAACAATTTCATAATACCCTGTTCTTCTCAGCAGCATCTGTGTAGGTGTCCCCACCTTGCAAATTCTCTTAAGTAATTATCTGAGAAGAAAAAGCTTAGAATTTAGGCTCCAATAACATCAACAATAATAATACCTTGCTCTAACATAGCAGTTTTCATCAGTAGATCTCAAAGTGCTTTGCAAAAGAGGTAAGCATCACTACCCCCATTTTACAGATGGGGAAACTGAGGCACAGAAAGGTGAAGTAATTCTCCAAAGGTCATCCAGCAGGCCAGTGGTAGAGTTGGCAATAGAATTCAGGTCTCACGAATTCCAATTCTGTGCTCTATCCACTAGGCAACATTGCCTCCCTTTAGTGACAGGCAAACAATTATTTTAAAAGTGGTTTAAAGTATTGCATTCAGATCAAGCCCATGCTTTCCCTTGCCCTATTGATTCCTCACTTGGTCCATTTTTGAATTAATCAGTAGTTGACATATTCTATATTACAACCACTGGCTGTGCCCACACTAGGCTAGTTCAGATAAAATTTCTCACTGTTGCTACATCACCAACATCCAAAACATGATTTTGTTTTACTTCAAGTTGAAATAGGAATATTCATTGAAAAATGTTGTAATGACTACTTAGGATTTATTCTCTCCTGAATTTTTAGACCTACTTCATTGGCCTGGGAAGTAAAGAAGATGTCTCCAGGACGCCATGTAATACCAAGTCCATCAACAGATAGAATCAGCGTAACATCAAATGCTCGAAGAAGTTTAAATTTTGGGTATGAAAACAAATAATAAAGACACTAAAGGAAAGCTAACTCATTTATTAAAAGGGTTCAGGGTTAACTCGTACATAATTTTCCTTTTGCAGCTAATGTATTGTTTTGGGTGCTATTAGCTAAGCCATATTTGAACCCAAATATTGATGTATGTAAACACGAGAGAGAAAAATACCCAACACATTGTATAAACAAAACAAAGCAAAAAACTATTGCTAGAAGACCTAATTTTTTTGCTTATATTTAATCAGACATTTTATTCCTCAGCATTTCAATGACCTGATGATAAAAACTAATCAAGCTATTTCATGTTAACTGTTTAATAAGATTAGCAGCCATTTCCTTCTACAAAACAAAGGTCAAAATATATGTAATTGACATTTTAAAATAGCCTGTGTATGCACCTGTGTATGGCAAGCTGAGTGTGCAGGAAGTTAATGTTGATCACTAACAATTAATGTAAAATAAAATTGATTTTGATGAGCAGCAAAATTTATATTAGTCTGAAAGACAGAAAATACTTATTATAAAAATACTAAACCTCTTATTCAATTAAGTGCCAGTATGTGGAGCAAGCACACAAAAATTACATTTAAATTATTTAACTCTATTTCAGGGGAGCATTATCTTCACTAAAGACCAAATATTGGAAAGCACTTAAGCACATTCAGTAAGTCCATTCCTATACAGGACATGCTTTAACTCCAGCCCATTGGGGCTTACTGTCAGGGACGGCTCCAGGCACCAGCTGAGCAAGCTGGTGCTTGGGGCAGCAGATTCTATGGGGCGGCATCCTGCCCAATCCTAGGGTGGCACGGCCGCTTTTTTTTTTTGTTCTGCTCCGGCCGCCCTGTAGGGGGCAGCGGTGCAGAGAACCAGAGCGCCCTGCAGGGCAGTCCTCTTCCTTCCCTCCCCGCCGACCGGAGCGGAGCCCTCGCGGCAGGAGGCGGCGCAGCGGGAGGGGCTGCGTGGCAGCGCCCCTGCTGTAGCCCTGGCAGCCCCCTTCTCTCTCT